GCAGCACTTGTTTTGCGCATGCGTCGTCCGTGTATTGGTCTTGCGTACCTCTATCGGCGCGCTTCTACCGCCCACTACCATATACGGCCTCTGCGTACGCGCGAGTACTGATCGTGATCGTGAGGTACGCGCCATACCATCACCGCATACAAGTTGGATAATTCAGGGACGTAGATATCTACTAGCATACCCTGCCTCTTGCGATCTTTGTGATTCATGAGTCGGACGCTACTCCGTTTCATGAAATTCTTTTTGTTAACGGAACATCACGAAACACGTTTATTCGTATATCCTGCCGTTGTGTGAGGGACTACCAAAATCAAGGACGTTGATCTATATGTGACCGATCTATTGAATAGGCTTTATTCGCTTAATTACGTGCTCATTACTGAAAGAGAAATGAGAAACTCATTCTCTTCGTATCAAACATTTGTATTTACTAACTTTATATACCTTCTTTGGTACTCTAACTTATTTCTGGCCTGTCATTTACGACAAATTTTTCAAAAATCAATAAAATTAGCTGATCATCTAACGAAACACACGTAATGCTTTAAATAAACCACAAGCTAAATATAGATTTCGACTTTAACTCGATATTTTAGAGTCAGCTGAAAATTATTTTGTACGTAAATTTTCGAGACGATAAACTGCATCAAATAGTTTCTTTAATCGTTTAATTAGTGACATTTAGAACAAGTATATTTGAGCGTAGTATTAAGTGTTGGTATGTGTTTAATAATGTTCATTTACAAACCAAATGACAAGAAATTGATTATGTAACATATTATTATATATTAATGTATTTTAATCTGGATGCTTAACTTATTGAAAATGTTCTTTCATGAATTCTATAAATTTGTATGAACTATCAATAAAGCTATTACAGAAAAGATACATATTCGTTTCGATATAATTCATGCAACGTTATTTATGCATTTTAAATATAAACCAATTACTTCTAAAAGAACTTCCGTGTTTATTACTAAAACGGCCAAACAACAAAATAAAAATTTGTTTATTATAATCAAGTAGAAATATGTATTTAAGAATTTTATTGTATTTTATTGTAAGTAACAAAGAGTTATCGTTGATTGTATAAAATACACATATATTAAGTTTTAAAAGAATTAAAATATTCTCTTCCTATATTAATGTAATTTAAGAAAAAAGAGAGCGTAAAAATTAGTTGAATTCTCAAAAAATGTTTTAACGCTATACGTTAATGGATATACATATAGCACGAATATATGACTTATTTTATCATATGCAAAACTCTTCCGATTATAATAATACAAAGTATCAACACGCTCAACTAGATACGTTATAATATCGAAGCAGTATACTTTAGAATGTATAATTAATGCTTCTACCTACTTTCAATTTGCAGCCACGCAATGTATCGTATCATGGATTCGAACTACGCATTGATTGATGTATCGCATAGGAGATAATAATGTAATACCGATTAACAAATAACTACATTTCCTGAACAGGTTTATTAAATTTTTCATGTATAGACATTATTTTAAAAATGATAATTTTAGATAATAAAGGAAACGTGATTTTAAATTTATTAATCTTAACATATAAATTTCTTTAATTAACAATCGTAATATAAATATAAATAACAACTACCTTACCGTCATTTTTATTATATGATAATCTACTCTTATATCTTATCTAATAAACATATCTTTATTAGTTGCTTCATGTGTATATAATAATTCAAAACAATGAATTATAAAAGTAATTATTTAAATATAAATATTTATTAATTTCTTCACTTTTTGACACTAGTTTTACCAAAAGAGACGTATTCCTTTAATTTTAACAAGTTTTCGAAATCAAATATTCAATATAATTACGCATCATATTAACATTGCACTGTATGAAGTCATTGCAGAAAAGGTACTGCCAATTGATCGAATTACCAATGTGATTTTATCTTGCCGTAAAAAATTTTAAAAATATATATATTTTTTCTTTTCCAGTAAGACTCCCACTAAAATATACACCATAACAACCCTGTTAGTTGCTACCGATTTTTCTATAAATAGTAGATTTGCGAGATTTTCACGTAAAGACGATACACCAGAAATATTATTAAATCGATAGTTAGCTATAATCTTTTTTACATTATAGGGAAGTACATTACGTTTATTTTTCGATATGTCAATGAAACAGGTTGAACAACTTATGATTCAATAATATTCTATATTTTATTGAAATATAAACATGAAGGAATTTAATGTCTCTCTTCACTGGATTTGGTATCCAAAAAGAATTGATACCGCTGCAGTTATTGAGAATTTCCATATTTAGATACTTTATTAGTAAAATAAATGCAGTGATACAAAATCTCTAAAATATTCTCCTAACTTTCATAGCTTTCATTTTTTATATATTTATAATATAAAAACAACTACAACTATCCATTTGAAAATAGTTATAGCTATGTCGTTACGTGTAAACCATGGCAAATATAAAAGATAGGTAACTTTATCTTTTTCTACCGTAAATTTATCAATTGTGTGAAAAAAAGTTCAGAATTAATACCCTGTATGCTATAATTAAAAATATTGCTTGATTGCTTGATACTATTCTCATCTATGTTTATTCTTGATGTTTGTTTATATTATGTTTCTTTAATATAATTATAGTTCTCTTAACAAAATTTTGTATTAAGGAAATTTTAGATATGAAGAAAGTCAACATTGAAAATGTAATAAAAGTGAAAAAGTTAAAATCCGTGAATGAATGAATTAAACAAAATTTTATATTATGATTAAAGTTCTTTATGATCGTGCAATGTTTTTTTGCATTATCGTTACACAGGGTTGTTTTAAATTCGTAAAGGTAATATTTTCGATATTGTATATAATTGCATTTGTTTTAAGTTTTAATCTAGTATTAAATGACATAATGCAATAACCAATAGTTACATATACAAAAGTTCTCAAAATAAGTTTGATTGAAAACGGAACTTTGTATACTGAAAATTTCATTTCACTCATAAATACAATGAATAATGGATAAATTTTATTGTATTTTTTATATAATTTTTTTTATTCTATAATTCTCTCGATTTTCAAACGATGTGTTCACATTACTTCAATGTTTAAATCCACGTGATAAATACACAAAATATAATTAACATTAACATAGGTTACACTTTTGTACACATTCATATTGCAAGTTTACACGGAAATAAATGTATGTTTAATATATTTGTTCAAACTTGGCATTACGTATCAGTATTTAAATTCTGTTGATATTTTATTATTGTCTAATTATTACTATTAGTATATATAGAATTTGATGTAACTAAAAATACAGCCACATGGAGGATGGAGTTATTTGAACTTGCAAGATTAAATTATTTGAAATAGTTATGTTGTTCAAAATATTCCCTTGCTTTTGAAGTAATCAAACGATAATGAAAAAACGTTTTATTTAGAAAATAATTTTCACAAACAATAATTTCTTTCAATTTTTATTATAGTCCTTGGACAAGGACTGAAAGATGTATAATATATCAGTTAAATATTGGGAAATTTTAACATTGTCCTTGATTAGTTTGTACAAAAATGCTCATTCAAATTATTTATAAAAAATGTGCCCATTTTTAAATAAGAAAAATATGAAAGGTTCATTTTTGTAAATCTATGTCCAATTCTGTACATTATTACATAATGTTACATGTGGAAAATTTGAGTATTGAAACCTTTTTTGTAGCTTTTTTAAATGTTTGAAATTTATTTTAAGTTTTAGTACGTTAAGTCGTATAGAATGAAAACATAGATATCTATTAAATGGAGGAAATATATATTATTTGATGTTATTGACAATAAATTCTTGACAATAAATTTACAATTGTTTAAAGGATCATAGGCGATAACAATAAAAGTTAAAAGTAAAAACGTATACACCTTATTGAAAAAGTAAAATATATATCGTAATTTTATTTCTAGAAAAGAGAGAAGAGGAATTTTACAAATAGTAATCTATAAAGACGTGACTCAAAAACAGCGATCGATTATAAATTCTGTCGCCTTAGTGTTATCCCACGAGCGTTACCTTTTGTGCCATATCCAACACGCCTACACATATGTATTGGTTAGTATAAAGTAGCGTTGACGTCATACACCATGTGCCATACATGGTACTACTGAGAAATAGCGTGGGTGTCACACATAAAGTATTCCTCTTGTCATTTTTCACCCATCAATAGTTTCTTTTTAGTTGTTTATTTTATAAGAAATGACAGGTAATATAAATAATTAAAAGAATATATTGGTTATTTTATAATACTTAAGCAGCACCGTCTATATATAATAACATAATATATAATTTATTGCCACCATATTTTAGTGATGCTGAGTACTTTACAATATATTTATGTGAGATACTTTACATCTGTTTACAGTCTTTCATTACTTTTATATCAATAAGCTATAGTACCACAAGACAAGTTTTACCACTTTTTTTTTGAGAATATATTCTGTGTAATTACTTTAAAAACTGTTTCATGGATCATAGCATAATTAACTAGTATGCTATTTATCTTTTAGTCACAAAAAATAAAAAAATAAAATGAAATATTAATATAGCATAATTAAATATTTGCTAGTGTAGCATGAAATAAGATCTTTACGGATGAATCAAATTTTTCCTCGAAAAAGTTAACTTTATTTAAATCTAACCTAATTTAATACAGCCGTAAAAAATATTATAATATATCTAGATGGATTCTATATCTCTATATTATACTTCATACTGTGATAATAAAATAATTACATACAGCAATAGTTGTTATATAGTTTTACAAATTGCAGTATACATAAATAATTCATTAGTTACCATTTAAAATACTCTTACAAACAATACAACTATTCCAGGAAATAAATATCCACACATGTCTTATTTATAAATTTTGTAATATTTTATACAAATCTTGCATATTGTACAATACCTTAAAAAGGTAAATAAAGAATTATGTTTTATGAAATATATCTTATTTCTTCATAAAATTAGGTAAATTGTATTTTGCATTTTATATAAGATAATCAGTTTAAAAGTTAGACCGTGATTTAAATTTAGAGTATCCATAACCTCCACCTAATTTTTTTCGTGGTCGGGAATTTTTACTTATTCCCACTTCTATAATGAAATAATGTTAAGGAAGCAATTTTTCTACAATATTTGTATATATAAATGCAGCTAGCAGGTACATATATGTAATCCGTACAAAAATATACAGGGTGGTTGGTAACTGGTGGTACAAGCGGAAAGGGGGTGATTCTACGCGAAAAAAGAAGTCGAAAATATAGAATAAAAATTTTTTTTTTAAATTTTCCCATCGAGACAACGATCTACAGTGAGATCCGTTATAACGTACCACACGCGTACCGAGCGAAAATTCAAAGTCGATTTTCTCAAAAACAAAGCCTCAAACGAAAAATTTTTATTCTATATTTTCGACTTCTTTTTTCGCGTAGAATCACCCCCTTTCCGCTTGTACCACCAGTTACCAACCACCCTGTATATTTTTGTACGGATTACATATATGTACCTGCTAGCTGCATTTATATATACAAATATTGTAGAAAAATTGCTTCCTTAACATTATTTCATTATAGAAGTGGGAATAAGTAAAAATTCCCGACCACGAAAAAAATTAGGTGGAGGTTATGGATACTCTAAATTTAAATCACGGTCTAACTTTTAAACTGATTATCTTATATAAAATGCAAAATACAATTTACCTAATTTTATGAAGAAATAAGATATATTTCATAAAACATAATTCTTTATTTACCTTTTTAAGGTATTGTACAATATGCAAGATTTGTATAAAATATTACAAAATTTATAAATAAGACATGTGTGGATATTTATTTCCTGGAATAGTTGTATTGTTTGTAAGAGTATTTTAAATGGTAACTAATGAATTATTTATGTATACTGCAATTTGTAAAACTATATAACAACTATTGCTGTATGTAATTATTTTATTATCACAGTATGAAGTATAATATAGAGATATAGAATCCATCTAGATATATTATAATATTTTTTACGGCTGTATTAAATTAGGTTAGATTTAAATAAAGTTAACTTTTTCGAGGAAAAATTTGATTCATCCGTAAAGATCTTATTTCATGCTACACTAGCAAATATTTAATTATGCTATATTAATATTTAATGAAAAATTTTCTACACGTTATAAAAATATAGCAAATAAAGGAAGAACATTTTTAACATTTTATATAATCGAAATCTAGTTTTCTGTGCATCGTACGCATATACATATAGTAAATGAATATAGTAAATACTCAAATGAAGTATTAAAATACCAAATATTATTGAAATCTCAATAAGAGACTATGTTTTAAAGGATACTCAAATCCACAGCTGGTGGAACCACGAACCCAAAAGATTTTGCGACCTTCGATAAGTCCACGGTTTCAATGTCAAAAATTTGTTTCAAATGATGAGAATCATATGCTCTCACATATGCTTTGAAGGCTTCTTTTGCTGACATATTTAAAAAATAATTCTTCGAAACCAATTTTTCAAGCTAAAACAGATGAAGAAACACAATTTAATTATTTTAATGTAGAGCACTGTAGATAGTCATAACTATATTGAAATAATTATTAGAATTACTTTAAAATAACAGAAATTAATAATAAGAAGTATTAAATTTAATAGCATCATACATTATTAGATATCTCTAAATTTTTACAATTTTTATTATGGAAAGTTATGGTTTAATGTAAAACAAATATAGAAGGAACTCAGTTTTTCGTTATACACATTCTGTTTTTTCTGTGCATTCAAAATGTTAGAGTAAAAATGATTTATATTTGTAGATGGAAATAACAGAAAAATTCAATTTATTTTAATCTGAAATATTGTAACTGATACTTAAGGTATCCAATTCGTGTAGTTAATTTACATTTTTAGTCGTCTTTGCATTTTATAATTTATAGAAAATGTTTGCACACACAATTATTACATATCCTTTACCCATGACTTTTAAAAAAAGAAAACTCAAAAAAACTTAGAGTAATACAGATATATATATAATTATATTACTTTTTATTTTATTATATTATTCAAATATGTATCACATCTAATTATATTATTCTAATTACCTATATATATATATATATAGATGTATTAGAAGAACTTGCAATATATTAATTTAATTAATAATATATATTATATAATATATGTATATTGTATATATATTAGTCTACCATAAAAATAAGGCCAAAATTGGAAAAGAAAATTTTTATATTTGGTCTATAGACACCATATATTAGTAATAACCATGATACACATGTTGTGTATTTTAAAATATAAGGCATGATCCATTAATTATGAATATATCAAAAACTATTAACTTCCTACATATACCTAAAATGAAACATAATCATTCTTGTTTTGACAAATTCTACAAATTAACTTTGTTACAAAATTGAATAGAATTTAGAGATTATATTTCGCTATCTTCATTTTGTGAAGTTTTAATATGGATTTACGCACTGCATAAAATATTTCCAATTCTATACATTTTTAGTTAAAAATTAAAAATTAAAATATGTATATTTACCTGTAATTGTATATCAGCAATTTTATTCCATGAAAAATCAAATTCGTTTACAGGTACTCTAGCCTGTTTAAGATAACGGAGGAAACCAAGTTCCTCTGGCCTTAAAATTAGTAACGCATGACCGCTACTACCTTCTCCTCGAGCTGTTCTACCAACACGATGAATATATTCCTGCAACAGCACTTAGCTATTATATTCATTACCAATTTAATAATGTTTGCATTATGTTACATTTAATTTAATTTGCCTTAGGATCATCTGGAGGATCATATTGTACAATCCAATCAACAGCTGGTATATCAAGACCACGAGCAGCCACATCAGTACAAAGGAGTATACCAGAAGATGCATTACAGAATTGGAAAAATGTTGTTGTTCTCTTCGTTTGTTTCTGTTTCCCCTATTAAATAATTGAAATATGTAATATAAAACTGTTAGGTGTCAAATAATTGAAAGTATTCCACACTGTACCGTACATGTATGCTTAATACTGGCAAATCAATGTAATTTAGTAGCTCATGGTGATATTTGACTGACATGCACGAACTGAAGAAAACCATAACCTTTTTCTTTCTGTTCTTTTTTAAAAAAGTAAATAAAAGTAAAAATCTCTTTTCACTGGGACACACAACATAACCCTGTTCTAAACCTTCTACTGTTGCCTTTTCCTTATCATCATCAACACCAACATAAACTGGTTCTTTTTTTAAAGCTAAAGTTGTTAACATTTCCGTTCGCTTGGTTTGTGTTGCACTGAACAACATTGTTAATCTCTTTTCTATAATAAAATATGTATATATTCTTTATCGTTATCATTATTTCTGCTACAAAAATATGAAAGATTGAACTAACTTGGTAAAATGTTAATAATTTGTTTCAGTTCTTCTTCAAAACCAATATCTAAGATACGATCAGCTTCATCAATAACCAGACATTGAAGATTTTTATACAAAAAGTCTGCTGTATTTTGTAGATGATCCAATAATCTACCAGGGGTAGCTACGATAATATTAATTCCTTTTGCAAGTTTTTGAGCTTCAGTCTGTCTATTAGCACCCCCCATTAGTAAACCATATGTATGGTAATGATATTTCATTAGTTCTTTTAAAACTCCAAATGTTTGCATAGACAACTCTCGTGTTGGAGATATAATAATACAACCTGTGCCTAAAAATAGTAATATAATGAAATATTTACATCCCAAATATTTTATTTATATTATTAACATACCATTGCGAGGCATAAATTTCAATTTATAAATTAATTCAACAGCAGGTATTAAAAATGCTAAAGTTTTCCCAGATCCTGTTTTTGCAGAACCCACTAGATCTCTTCCTTCTAGTAAAGGAGGAATAGCTTTTGCTTGTATTTCTGTCATGTTTGTAAAACCCATGTCTTGTATTGCTTTTAAAGTATTTTCACAAACAGATTCTGCTAATACCTTAAAATTTGTATCATTTGCTATCGTTAGACCCATTGCAGATCCAGGTACTGCAAGAATGAAAGATAAATCAAATTAATATTCATATATATATAATACACAGCATGTATCATGTAATAATGTTCACAATTTCTAAACTTCGCCAATTGTCTTTTTGGAAAGAACTGACATATAGAATTATCTATCTGTTAATTAATAATAAATTGCAATAATTATGATTTTTTAAATATATATATTTTTCTGTATTAAAAAAGAATTGATCTTAATTCTCTTAAATGAATTCATATACTTTAAATATGATATTCTCTATAAAAAAGTTCCTTCCTAGATTCTAAAAGAATATTAAATATATTTAATAATAATCATTTTTCTCATTGTATTGACATTTTTAATTGACATATCCAGTTCTTTAGTCATTTGTCAAATAAATGAATACGATTAACGTGAAAGTGATTTAATATTTAGATAATATCATAATATCATTTGTAATAAGTCTTTTGAAGGAAATTTATTACACATAACCAAAAATTGTTCGAAAATAAAAAAAGATCTTATATAGGGATAAAGTCTATTTGAGTATTGTTGTCTATGGAAATTTACTGATTTGCATGTATTTTCTTTGCATTCACTAAACTCTCATAGCATGTTATGAAATCTCTCTATTGAAAAACACATTTATTGTGATACAATAGTTATAAATTAATGTTGTATATATGAAACTAAATTATTAATACAGACTAGAGGTATGAATGCATGAACTGTTCTATATTTTCGATTAATTTTTGCATAAGGAATCCAACCATGTCGAGTTGTATTACCTGCAATGAAATTCTCTATATATCAAGCTCTTTCAAAAAATTATTTGATGCGGTTCAAAAATTGTAAATACCATTGAACTATACAGCTTAAATATAATTTAATACTGATTATTTAAGGGGATAAACCATAAAATTGTATGAAAAAAAACTTTTTAAATAAAAATATTTTTAATGCACTTTAATGGTTAACTTCCGAATAATATGTCACTTATAGCAAATGTTTTTGTTTTGAAATTTACAGTAATTAAAAGATTAGTGAAATTTTCTTAAAATACTTACAATTTTCATCTATACTATTAGTATTGTTTTCTTGTGATATTTGATCATCTTCGTCTTTTTTTCTTTTCTCTGTAACATATAATAATTACATGTTATACAATAAACACATTCTATTAAGGGAAACGCCTGAGTTGATGAAATAAGATTTAGATTTGAAATTTTTTAATATCACATACAAATAGTTGTTTTATACTATATAAACAGATCACTCAAGTTTATGCAGATGAAAAATATATAAAGTAAAAGTCATATACTCTTGAATAAACAAATAGCACATATGGCTATGTTTACTTTCTCATGTCTCAGTCGCTTTGCAATCTTATGTTAATAAACATCTACATGATATAATACCAACGATAGCCATACTACTAATGTATGAACTATAGAAAATTTCAGCAGATTAGAGAAATTAATTGAAACACAGACAGGACATATAAACAACTTATTATCTCTGTTAGCACTGGTAATAAATAAAATAATGCTCAGTACAAAATAATGAAGCTGATATGTATTACTACAGGGAATGCTATTGCATTCGTTCAACATAAAAACGAACTGGAAATCATCCTAGGCTGCCACAAAATAGATATAATGCTCATTTCTGCAACTCATTTCATAGACAAAAATCACTTCAATATCAATGTCTATAATACATCACATTCAACATCCCAGTGGTAAGGTAAATCAGATATTAATATAAAATCAAATATAAAACATTATAAGCTCCATTAGAAGCATGATATAAAAAGAATTATCTCCAGGCATCTAATGTTATGATTCAAGACTGATATAGTCTGCAATATCTATTATTTACTGCCCTCCTAGGCACGATCTTTTGAAGAAAGATTTTGATTATTTTATTTGGAGGTTTTATTCTTAATTCAACATAAATCCAAAGAAAGCTCCAGGACACAACATGATCAATGATAAAATGATCAAATTTGTGATCATAGAAACTTTATGCCATCTTTGCGTCCATTTATGCCAGAATGAAGTATGGTTGTACTGTAAATTTGAGGTTTCTTGCGAATATCTAGGAAACTAAAGCCAAGCGATGGTAACATGCATAGGGAAAAATTGTTCATGATGTTGATTTGGACAACACACTTGAAGGTCATTGGAATCAATGGGATTGTCTGATATTAAATAATTACTGTTATTTCTCAACTTACTTTTATACTATTTAAATAATTAATCATAATTTAAATAATTTAAATAATGATTGTGCATATCACATACCATGTTAAAGCATGTGATGAAATGAATGACCATCATGTTAAATATATGTTGTAGATTAATGTAAACCGAGATAAGTAATGGAAACATTCCATAAGTTGAAAACTAATGACATTTGGATTTCATGTTCATTAAAACTCTTTTGCCTATGTTAATAAATACTACATGCTGTTAAAGTTTACCATTAACTCCTTGACATATCTTGTATATTATATACATTTTTCATTATATGGATATTAGTATGCAAACAATACAAATTTTAGAGATATCCAATTTATTATTTTCGTTCATTCAATAAGATAAAACATTAAACTTTGAACATTTTTACGCTGATTGTAAATTATATATTTCACATTTATAGAAAGAATTACTTTCTTTTACTATTTACATTACACTTTCCATTCTATTATGTTATTACTTTTTTATGGTTAGATGGTAAAGAATATGAACATTAAAAGGTTACTTAAATATCAAAGAATTTTTTTCAAACATGGTTTAAATTAAAATTAGGAAATTATAAAAAGCAATTACTTTGAGTAAATCTGTTTTGATTCTAACAGATGTTAATATATTAATTTCAGTTAACAAATTAAATTCTACATAGCAATGCTTTCACTATTGTATATACTTTATATGTACCTTAGAAATATAACAAACATAAATACAGTCTATTTTCAGTTTTGAGAAAAATTAAGATATTAATAAATATAATCTAAATTATAGAAATTAAATAAATAATTATTTTAACTTACTTTTCACTGGCACACTTTCTTGTGAGTGACGTCGTTTCGATTCATTTATAACATCTATCTCATTTTCTTGAATATCATCTTCCAAATTTTCAATTGGGGCTTCACCTGCCATTAATATAAAATAGATTATCAGTAAGAGCTAATAATTTTATGTAAAGATAGGTTATAATATAACAATAATAAATTATATTTTATGACTACATTTATAACCTTGTACTTGCTTCTCCCGTTCTTTCAATACTTCAAGTTTCTTCCTTTCTTTTTTCTTAATTTTTCGCATTAAAACTTTATTAGGTACTGACATATTTGTTTAACAAATCAAATGCTTATTTTAGTGTAATAAAATATCTCAACACGTTTTAACCATGTGCTAAATTGAAAATTGATGTCTTCTTTAAAACTAGTTTGCAATAACTGGCAGTGGGCGTTACGGTCGCCCAATCAGAGCGTTTCTCTCACTGACATATCAATGGCTTCTCCCTGCTTCAAGTCGTTGCTAAGAACACATGTGAGAATGGACATTCTTAATCCAATGTTAGAAATATCAGCCAAAAGATGGAGGTGGGAATTCTATCCGCATTAATCTTTCCCTATTACTTTTTTTTAATTTATATAAAGAAACAATAGCTTAAAACTTCAACACTGTAAGAACCAAAACAGAGCTTTTATTAGAAAATGAATTAAACAAACTTAGAAATCACAGATTAAAAAATACAAATATTATGAAATTAAGTTAAACGCCAAACTGAACTTTATTATTTGAAGGAACGCGCTCTTCTGTCCGTTTTTATAGGTTTGTTTATGGAACTACTTATAATAAAAGGTAACCTAAAAAAAATTAATGTCTAAACTATTTTACAATGTACCATCAGAGAGGAAATGAGTTCTAATTGTTCTCGAGCTAATATTGTTCCCAGCAACCAAGTAATGATAGTATTCTACGCTAAAATATATGAAAACTTATAAAGTTAGGAATCTGTTCTATTTAGTTTCACGCTGGCATATACAAAAACCTATTTAGTTCCACCAAAAACGTGGTATGCTGTGGCGCTGTGGTTCACGTCATCAAAGCCTGTTTCATTGTATGGTTCTATGGAAATCTTTTCTATTCGATATAAACAAATATGAGAATAATAAAATCGCGCAATAATTGAACTAAGTTGCCTTTGAAAGAGAAATTAATTATTTATTATATCTTTTTAACGAAGAAAAGAAAATCTTTCCTTTCAAACGATAATGGATCAGTAAAATGATGCAATAATTTTAATATATTCTCCATATACAATAGCTTTTTAGATATAAAATTAAATTTACTTTTCTCGTAATAATGTTTTTGTTATAATAAAACTTAAATTTCATTTTGATAGTAATTTCAATAGTTGGTAGGCTGCGAATAATATTTCTGACGATAATGTATCTGTTTTGCATGCGTATTCATTTACAGAAACGACAAAAACAGAAGAACAAATTAAATGCAGACGAGATTTGACGTTGTGATTAATTTTACGATTTTCATCCATCTTACTTCCATTACTGAGTAAAATTTATGGTAATTATTTACGAAGTTCGCCCATATCACCGATTGTTTTTTTATATATGCTATTGGGACTACAATTCTAAACATATTTTTATCACATTTCAGAATCGCTATATACAGGTATTGTAGAAGGTATATATTATGTAGTAGTTAATTCTATATGGCATATATTTCATTTTATTCTCTTGCCTTTTTGTTTAACTCTTAATCGTAATTATTATAGTTCTAGTCATAAGCAATTAGTTTTCATTTTCAGGACAATAAAAGTCGAAAATTTTGATGTACACATATATATGTATATGTATATGTCGGAGATGAAAGGACATCGAAGCCTTTCTTTTGGAATGTTTGGGAAGGTCCCCAATACTTTAATCCAGACTTTTATTATAGCTGCACTTAAATAATAAAACTGAAAAAATAGTTGTTTATGTTTTAATCCGAGTATGGATGTCCGAGATTTATGACATAACGGGTCGCTGAACGCAGCCACGGTCACGGGAGGGATGTGTATCTAACAGAGGTATGGAGTAATTATATAACTCTCCTTAAAAACAAAGATTGACCCAAAGGGTACAGAGAGGTACGGAGAGGAGTATATAAGGGCAGTTCCACTTGGTGACGCTGAGATTCTGTTCAGTCAGATAAGTTCTACTTGTACTGAGGACAAGTACGTTGAGTCACACCAGAATCGTGGATCAAATCGCATTCATCATCCCGTTGACCGTGGATTCGTTATTGAACCTAAGATCATTGTCATTAGCATCTCGAGTATCTAATTACCACGGTTATTTGTCAAATTCTGTAATAATCGTATTTGCGCTGGTAAATATCTTCTCTATTGCATAATAACAATGTCCAATCCAAATGAAGATTCGCTTCACGCCCCTAACCTTAATCATAATGTGAACCCGACATATATATATATTGTGTGTGTGTTTGCGTGCATATATATTGTGTTGCGTGTATATATATTGTGTGTGTGTTGCGTGTGTGTATATATATATATAAGGCAGTGCCCCATATAGAATTATTATTAGACTAAGATTTAACTTAATTTTTAGATTTCAGGTTTTTATGGATCCTGGTCCGGTTTCTAGTTTTCGCGTTGGTTTTCTTCTTAAAGCTCCTTTGTTGTTTGTTTTGAATATTGTGCAAACGCACACCAGAAGGAATATTTATTTGATGATGAATAAATTAAAAATTTTTTGGGATCTCCCCATAACTCGCTCGCAGAAGAGGCGGACAGCCTCGAGTTCCTGTGGCCCGCTCAACATCGCTTCTACGATCATCGAGGGGGTCAAGGAAGCACTATATTTTACGTCCGCCTAGCTCGACTGCTCGGGCATAACTGACGATAAAGTAGAAGTGATAAATGAAGTGGGATATATTCAAAAGATAAAAACATAACACCATTAAAAGCTGTAACAGTTATACTTTCAAACCAGAAGAATAAGATGAGAGTATAAGTAAATGAAAAGATATGGAACATTTAAGGACATTAGATATAGCATTGTAAAGAAAGTTATATATATCTAAGATATAGCATTGCAAAGAAAGGACAAGATCATGTATGATGTATCACAAACGTTATCATACTTTGAGAAAAATATATTTTTTATCTTCCTTAAAATCCTTTTTAAGAAGGAAAAATGATTTGAAACAAGAACAAAAGAAACTTTCAATCATTTTCCTTGCCTTAAATCGCAGTTGAAAAATAAGGATGAAAATTTGGGGAAATTAGGATTACATCAACATGAATTTTAGCAAACAGGTTGGAACCATGCAGGATCTTAATCCTACTACAGAATTTATCATCAATACTTTTGCGACATAAATTCCTGAAGATGGATTTCTAATATCTTCTTTGGAATTTTGTAAATTTCTACCAGAATAAAATGTGGCGTATCAGTATCAATAGGACGTCGACAGGTCGGAGGCATCAACGCGACGCAACACCTCCCGATCCGCGGGTACCAACCGCCAACACCAGTGGGCTACGAGTTTTTCTTTCTCTCCCTTTCCGCTCGCTCCTTCACGAGCATAACTCTCTCGCAGAAGGGGCGGACGGCGTCGTATTCCTGTGGCCCTCTCAGCATCGCCTCTATAATCGCTGGGGGAAGAGGGGCGGGTCAATGTTCCTCCTGTGGCGTGTCACAGGGAGTAGCGGGGCAGCTCCCACGCCGGGCAGAGCTCCAAGGTGTGCTGCGCCGTGTCCCTGTCCTCTCCGCAATGGTGACAGATGTCTGTCGTCTCCCGCCCGATACTCTTCAGGAACTCGCCGAACACGCC